TAGGAGATGACAGGGAAAAGAGGAAGCCGCCGTTGCCGTTCGTGATCCAAGCCCGGATGCCCGTTCGCTGCGTCTTGGCTGGGTACTTGTAGTCTGCCTGCCCTGGGAGTAACAACTTGTCCGGCCCGGCCCATGTGTTGGTGGGCTCGCTGCCTTGGCTCTCCAGTTTGTGTTGCCGTTGGTTTCGCTGCCATGGCAGCAGTTTGGGCTACCATGGTAGCGCCTTCAGTTGATGTGGCCGCGGCGGTACTTTGGGTCGCTGACATCCCCTCCTCCTTAACAACCGGCTTGCCCTCAAGCCGGTGCCAGTTAGCCGCTAGTTCCTCGAAGTTTGTGTCTTGCAGATGCAATTTGAGCATATGTGAGGTGCCATCAGCTAGCCAGGAAGGAGAACAGGAGTCTTGAAGTTCTGTATATCTGCCGAGCCGGTGCCTGTTCGCCGCTAGTTCAACAAAATCAAATCCTCCTGGATCCCACTGCACACATGAAGTTGCTGATTGAACTGATTGTATGAATTGCCACCTCAGGATAAAAGTTGCGATGTAATCTTCAGTTATGGGTCTCATTGCACGCAAACCACCGCAGATAGTAGAGCTCTCAGAAATACATGGCAACCCTTCTTGTAACTTTTCGGCGATGATATGGGCCAACCAAAACAGAGTAGTCATGGGACCTGGTCCCCAAGAGAAGCACCGCCAATAGCTTGACAAGGTACTGACATGATGAGTAAAGGGCCAAGATTGAGTCAATTCCCAAAGAACACCAGTGAGACGCAGAAACTCTGAATTAGTTCGCATATAGCTTCTGAATTCTGTAGGAATTTTTGGTGGGAAAAGAGGTGACCATGGGGGTTTGGGTTGCAGCATGGGAAAATGTTCTGCCGGTTGTGTGATAAGTAATTCCAACTCCATCAGCAGGGTCCTACTGTCGACCAATGGGATGCCCAAACACATGTAACCGGTGGAAGTGAATTTGTTGCTGTTATGTAGGACCGAAGCAAAGGTACGACGATTTGCAGTCTCTGAATTATGCTTGTCCAAGTTGTGGTCAGCAGGACTGAATTTAGAACAAGAAGTCTGATGTAGTATGTGCGGCAAGAGCTTGAATATACTCTCAACGCCAAAGTTATAGTCTTGTTGCTGAGCAAGTGGGCTGGTAAGAGCACTTGTTGATGTACTAGAATTCACCTTGGGCTGGTCACGAACACAGGGAGCGCAATAGCACAAATAATCGCTTTGAATAAAATCAGAAGCGACCGAACGAGCATACTCAAGCACTTGCGGCTCATTCAAAATCTTGGCTATTTGAGGGCACGATTTGGCGTTGCAACGGAACTACAGCCTATCAATATGCTCCACCGTCGAATATACCAAAACAACCAAGAGGTTGACATGTTGTTTATGATGGCCCTCTGAATTCCATTGCTTGTCACTTGCATCCCAGGGGTGACAAAAAGCATGAAACAAAGGTTCGGACCACATCTAACCAAACACCTCTTCTTTAGTTCTTGGAGCCCACAACCTCTTAAACTGAGTGAAGAAATGCCAATGACAACAATAACTAGTGGCACTGGCTGCACATGAATTCATATATTCTGGAACCGAGTTTGCTGGCTGTACATACTGAACAACCGATGATTGCAAAAATTTTGAATTAATTTCTCCAAGAGTTATGTGATACTCTAGGTATCCCTTGTCCAGCAATAATTGAAAGGGCTTGATTGACAGAAATTTTGCACACCAGGGCAGAAATAGGATCACCAGGCAAGAGTTATCAATTGACAGCTGAACACTTGAAGTATCTTGAGCAGACAAGTTCTTTTCTTTTCTTGGTGGCGCTTTAGACATGATATCCAGAACTTCTATAACATCTTTAAAGAAGGTGTCCACTTTCCTGGAACATGCAGATTGGTATTCTGGGTCAGATAGAAGCAGAGGGCACTTCTGAAGAGATGAGGAATTCAAATCACCAATAAACTCACAACTGTCAGATATTTTATCAGATTTGCTATCAGCCACAACAACTGTATTGTTGCTATCAATGCCTGCTGAGCATCCATCTGTGTTCCAGAGGTTTAAGTCATCTTCACGCCCAACCAATCCAGGAGTTGTATTTTGAACATAATATTCAGCTTCGTATTCAACTTCGAATTCAGCAGGAAAATCAGTCATGCTTGATTCTCTGAAAAACTGATACTTGCATGGTTCATATCTTTCAAGAGGTAATACATATGCAGCCACACTTGAACCCATGCATCCTTTATCCATTTTTTTGATTTCCAAAGGAACATCGAACTCCCTTGCGATTGCTGGACCATCTCCCGGTGAACATCTCCGAACATCAAACGAACATCGCCTTGCAATTTCAGTGAAACTTTCACGCACTTTGTGTTGAATTCCACTGGTGCAAGGCTTGACTGAATCAGTTCCATTACCATGCTCCTCCAGGTGAACATCTCTAAACATCAACCGAACTAACCAAGGACTAAAGCAGGAACCTCGATGTGATTGACTATGGATACTTGAACATGGCTCTTCCGGGTAGCTTGTGACTGACAGAGGCCCGAACGATGGCCACGGGCTAGGCCTGAAGATGGATCCCATGTGATTGAACCTCCATGGTTGATGTCGTTCGAAGGAAGGCGGGTGCAGACGCTCAGCGATGGGAGTGTCATGTGTCTCGTCGACACTATCGATGGTGGCGGTCAGAGGTTTCACCCAGTCGCCCACATAGGCGGAGCATTCTGCCAAGCACTTGGACGGCGCTAGTGCAGCCAAGTTGTTGGGAACAAGGAGAACGACGATGTGGTCCGCCTCGCTCACTACTTGGGTGGAGTTGTTGCTGCATGGTAGTGGCGAGTCGTCCAGCTCCTGCACGCTGGTCTTGGGGTTGACCTCGGTGGTGGTTGCCACTGGTGTGATGATCTCGGAGGCGACCTCCTGGTGGATGTGGTCATCCACGGGCTCGAGCTGGGCGGCTGTGGCAGCGTCGTGGACCTCGCCGACGCTGGCGATGGAGGCGACCTGGGTCAGGCACTCCGTCGAACAGGTGGCGGGCACCCTCTCGATGCGGACCGAGGGTGCATCATGCGAGACCGCGGGGGTCTCCTGGGCCTGGGTGGTGGTGGAGAAGACGTCGTGGACGACCGCCGGGGCTCTGGGGTCGTCGGTGAGGCCACCATCGGCTGCTGTGCCCATGGGGCAAGCCAGCTGCGGGGTCGAGACGCCCGTGAGGATCTTTAACATCCGCGCGTGCTGCTTGTCCACGGCGTCGTAGCGCGCCATGGTCCGTGCGTGGTAATCGGCCAAGTAGGACTTCAGCTCCGGGTGCATGGTGGTGGAAGAAATTGATGAACTCAGAAGAAAAAATTGGGCAAAAATTGGACGAACTCGGGAAAATTTGTGGCGAATCGGAAGGGTGGAAGGAGGCTCTGATGCCACGATGTTATGTAGCCACTCACGAATCACTCGAATTACTCCATTACAGGAAGTTCAAGCTCAACTCCAAGAGGTTGAGGAGGGAGAGTACAGGAGGTAGGAGATGACAGGGAAAAGAGGAAGCCGCCGTTGCCGTTCGTGATCCAAGCCCGGATGCCCGTTCGCTGCGTCTTGGCTGGGTACTTGTAGTCTGCCTGCCCTGGGAGTAACAACTTGTCCGGCCCGGCCCATGTGTTGGTGGGCTCGCTGCCTTGGCTCTCCAGTTTGTGTTGCCGTCGGTTTCGCTGCCATGGCAGCAGTTTGGGCTGCCATGGTAGCGCCTTTAGTTGATGTGGCCGCGGCGGTACTTTGGGTCGCTGACATAGAGAATCCGGTTAACAGGTCGACGGGGCTCCTCTTAACAAGTTTCAAGCATGTCGCCAGTTAACTTTGATTGAATCTTTGATTCTTTATGACGCTTTAAACTGTCAACTTCACTTCGGCACAAAGAAAGGATGCCTTGCTTTCTAGCATTGCTTCATTTCCTTTCCTACCTACTAGACCCAGATGATTGATGAATAAGTTTAAATCGGAGCAAAACGTAATAATAGCATCGCAACCAATACTACGTGAAAGAGGTATGCATGGTTCCAAAACAACATGAGATTCTAATACGCCTATAATACCCACGAAGCAAAAAATCATCACAATAAAAAAAAAGGGAACCACATTTATGTACTCCCTCCGGTCCTTTTTACTCTGCACATTGGATTTGCCGAAAGTCAAACTTTAATAAGTTTGACCAAATTTATATTAGAAATTATTAACATCTATAATATCTAATAAATATAATATGAAAATATATTCCAAGATGAATCTAATGACATTGGTGTTGTTATGTGAATGTCTATAATTTTTTATATAAACTTGGTCAAAGTTGGATGAGATTGACTTCGGACAAACCTAATATGCAGAGTAAAAAGGACCGGAGGGAGTATGAAAAATTAAGCTACAACAGCTTCACATACCGTTTTAAGGCTCTCTACAACTTTCTGGTTCCATTGTTGCACTTCAAAATTAATCAACTAAATAAGAACAGAAATGATAAATCCCGAACGTTCGGATTTTAAACATGGCAACCCGAACATTTTTCATGGCAACTTTAGTTCCCGTGAGGTTGGCAAACATGGCAATTTTTTGACAATAAAATGAACTGGGACAAAGTTGCCATGTCTTAACAACTAAACTTGTCACCTCGCGTCAACTAAAGTTGCCATGAAAAAATGTTCAGGATGACATGCCTAAAATCCAAACGTTCAGGATTTATCAGGGTCCAATAAGAAAGCCTACAGCACATATTCCTCGGCAACAGCACTGCGGGATTACAGATAACATAACTTCCCTCCGTTTCACATCCGAAAGAAGCTCAGAAATGGAACAGATATCATACAGAGCCGTCCAGCTGAATTTATGGATCAAGATTCCATTTATGCCTGGTACAAAATATCATCCACTACAACTGAATATTCTCCATCAGCGTACAATACAACTTGCAGAATTAGAAGCTAGCGAAATCGTAAGCATCTATGCATTCTCCATCAGCTGCAAGACCTCAATTTCTGTGGGCAATGAAGGGATTGCCCCTTTCTTTGTGGTGGTGATTGCTCCACATGCATTGGCAAATTTAATCGCCTCCTCAAGCTTTTCCTGATTCTGCAGCAACCAGCAGATATGGAATTAGTGAACCACCTACTTCTAGGTACGAAAAACGGCATGAGTTGTACAGAGCTAGATTGAAACTAGTACAGTAATGCTCAAGGAAGTGTTTGTAGGCAAGCTTACTTGCAGTGATGATGGATCCTGGACAATTTTCCGGAGCAGAGCACCAACAAATGCATCACCAGCACCTGTTGTGTCAACTTGTTGTATTTTGTACGATGGGACAACTCCACGGAAATCCTAGTCAAATACAACAAAGCTCAAGTCTCAGTTACATCATGAGTCTTCAATTTTCAATGGTAATTGTGCAAGAGTTATTATATACTTGTCCTGAGTGCATACAAAGCAAAGCCCAGTGAAGCTTAGATTTGACATACAAAGTACAACCAGCACTAACAATAGATTGTAAAAACTTGTAGAGCATACCCTGGCATAGTACTTGCAGCCTTGACCTCCAAGAGTGACCAGGAGGAGCTTAAAGGTAGGGCGCCACAGCTTCATGACAACATCGTCCTCTACTGAGTCGATGCCAGTCAAAAACTCGACCTCAGACTCACTGACCTTGACAATGTCTGCCTGGTCCCAGATACTCAAGATCTTGGTGCGAGCCTCCTCACGGGATGACCACAGTGCCTCCCTTGGGTTCGGATCATATGAGAGAAGCGCGCCGGCCTCTTTGGCAATCTCCATGGCGCGCAGATGTGCCGACCGGCAAGGCTCAGCAATCAAGCTTATTGATCCATAGTGGAAGACTGTAGCCTGGGTGGATTATAAGTTGTGAGTCATTTTCCCTCAACGAAATAGAACAGTGCAGTACAGAAACTTCGCAAGAAATCGACAGATTTAAGAATCATATCGTTAGAGTTGAACACTTTCTTATAAAGTCTGCACGCAGAGCACAAATCTAACCATGAACGGTTGAAGCGTCTAGCAGCACCTGATATGTGGTAGTTCTCGATCATAGAACTATACATCCAAGCCGACATGACCCTCCTGCCCCATGGATGAAAATGTTGATCACCTGCTTCTCTGGCGACTATGTCAAGTTACGATCTGCACCCCTACCATGTGGAACGTTTGGAAACGCCACGATGCCCTCATCTTCAACAGAGCTGATGAATCGGTTAACTTGGTCATCCGTAGGTGTGCTGAGGACATTAGACTATGGTCCTGGAGATGTTCATATCGAACGAACTACCTGACATGCACAATTCTGAAATTACGTCTCAGTTTCACAGTACCAAATATAAGAAGTTTTGGTGAACTGCCAACACTTCTTATATTTAGGAACAGAGGTAGTACCAAATGTCCAAACATTTTCTCAAAAGTTTTAGTACTAACCATGACAAGATTTATCTGACATAGCAAATCAGCTAACACCTCTCAAATCTCATTTCGTGCATCACAACGAAATATAATTCACATTGGATTCTACATTTCTACTGCTGTACATGACACGGGTTAAAGTATCAGACAGATCCAGTAAAAGAACAAGTACAGTACCAACCAACCGGACTGCACAACAAAATCCGACCAAGATCCGCCTAATTTGCCAAGGAAGATTCAGCACCCGAATTGCACGAAACGAAAAGGACACCTAGAAAAACAAGAGGAACATGACGAAGAAAATTCCACCTGATGCGCACCAAATCAGCAGCACAAGAAACCTAGCTAGCGCTCGCGTCCGGATCCAGGAAACTGGATCGAGTTGGTTCCCCAGATCACAAGCAAAGAAACCGGTAACAAGGAGAGTCGTGACTCGCGTACCCTCTTGATGACGTCGACGTTGAGCTCGTCGGCGGTGAGGAGCATGTCGGCGCTGGGGTTGCGGTAGAACATGAACTCGCGCTCCCCGTCGGCGCGCAGCGTGACGAAGGCGAGCGCGGTGCGCGCCCCGGCGTCGAAGACGACGGCGCCGTCGTCGACGCCGTTGTCGCGGAGGATGGCGGCCAGCATCCGGCCGAACTCGTCGTCGCCGAGCTTGCCGACGAAGGCGGCCTCGCCGCCGAGCCGCGCGACCGCGATGGAGACGTTGGCCGGCGCGCCGCCGGGGGCCTTGAGGAAGGCCGGCGCCTCCGCCAGCGACACCCCCGCCACCGTGGGCACGAAGTCCACCAGCATCTCCCCGAAGCTGACCACCAGCTCGCCCCCGCCCGCCATCTCCGGGCACACGGAGGGAGACAGAGAGAGAAAGAGAGCGGGGGGGATGATGTGTGCGCGCCGGGACGGAAGTCCACCCAAAATCACCTGACTTGAAGACCACAATGGTCGTCATGTTCTTCTATTCTTTTATTCGTTTCCTGGTGTCCCGCATGTTCATTTATGCCATTTTTTTTCAACGTGACCGACAGTTGATGCCATGAAATTATATACTAGTACCTCTGTATCGAAATACTTGTAGTTAGGGGAATGGAGTAATTTTTTTCTAACACGGTATAATTTTATATGGTTGCGTATACATGTACATTCATCTTACGAGCGCATCCACGCATATTCTATCACTATGGACACTTTCAAGATATTGAGTTGTCACATCATTTTAAGATTAACAAAGTCAACATAGACATCTCATATTCGATGAAAACGTCTTCTTACACACACAAAAATATCGTCGGAAAGTCTAAAATAAATTTAAAAATGCAAGACATTAAAATCTTAATAGGATGGTTCCACAACAAGAAAACTACCGTCTAAATTACGCTCAGTTAGATATAACGATAATTTGATCTCAACAAAAATCAGTGTATATCAGCCATTGCAACGAAACTAATCTACATGATGTAGTATCAGGCCAACTCGAGTGCGGACCCTCAAACCTCCCACATCTGTCCAAACCGCACGGTGCGGACCCCGCAACCGCAAGCCATTCAAAAGAGTCCCGCATCCATCCATGGACCAGTTTGGACTTTCGTTTTCCTCCAAACTGGAACCAAACCAGGGGTTTTGTGGGAATTCGGACACCAACCACGTAGGACTCCGACACTCCCGAGCCACCGAAAACAAAGGTGAAGCCCGTGCATTTGGAGCTGGCCGCACTGATTCCGCTTTCAAAATCACTCTTTCTCAACTCTCTCCTCTTCCATCACGCCGCTCTCCACCCCAATTCCCGCCCTTTTTTGCCGTCACCTCCGCATGGAGGTGTTGGGGAATGTAGCATGCAATTTAAAAAAAAATCCTGCGATCACGCAAGATCTATCTAGGAGATGCATAACAAGGAGAGGGGGAGAGTGTGTCCACGCATCCTCGTAGACGAAAGCGGAAGCATTAGGTTAACACGGTTGATGTAGTCGAACGTCTTCATGATCCAACCGATCTAGTACCGAACGTACGACACCTCCAAGTTCAGCACACGTTCAGCTTGATGACGTCCATCGAACTTTTGATCCAGTAGAGGGTCCACGGAGAGTTTCGTCAACACGACGGCATGGCGACGGTGATGGTGATGTGATCCGCGCAGGGCTTTGTCTAAGCACTATGACGCTATGACCGAAGGAGTAAACTATGGAGGGGGGCACCGCACACGGCTAAGAGAACAATTGATGTGCTATGGGGTGCCCCTCTGCCCCCGTATATAAAGGAGGGGAGGACGAGGCGGCCGACCAGGAGGGGCGTGCCATGGGGGGAGTCCTACTAGGACTGCACTCCTAGTAGGATTCACCCACCCCCCATTTTCCTTTCTCACCGGAGGGAAAAAGGAAGGGGAGGGAGAGGGAGAGGAAGGGGGCCGAGCCCCCCCCCCCTCCTTGTCCTATATGGACTCCCTTGGAGGGGGGGGCGCACGCCACCCCTTGCGGGCTCCCCTCTCTCTCCACTAAGGCCCATGTAGGCCCAATACTTCCTCGGGGGTTCCGGTAACCCCTCGGTACTCCGGTAAAATACCCGAACCACTTGAAACCATTCCGATGTTCGAATACTACCTTCCAATATACGAATCTTTACCTCTCGACCATTTCGAGACCCCTCGTCATGTCCGTGATCTCATCCGGGACTCCGAATCAAACTTCGGTCACCAAAACACATAACTCATAATACAAATCATCATCGAACGTTAAGCGTGCGTACCGTATGGGTTCGAGAACTATGTAGACATGACCGCGACACATCTCTAGTCAATAACCAACAGCGGAACCTGGATGCTCATATTGGTCCCTACATATTCTACGAAGATCTTTATCGGTCAAACCGCAATAACAACATACGTTATTCCCTTTGTCATCGGTATGTTACTTGCCCGAGATTCGATCGTCAGTATCCTCATACCTAGTTTAATCTTGTCATTGGCAAGTCTCTTTACTCATTCCATAATGCATCATCCCGTAACTAACTCATTAGTCACATTGCTTGCACGGCTTATAGTGATGTGCATTACCGAGAGGGCCCAAAGATACCTCTTCGATACTCGGAGTGACAAATCCTAATCTTGATCTATGCCAACCCAACAAACACCTTCGAAGACACCTGTAGAGCATCTTTATAATCACCCAGTTACATTGTGACGTTTGATAGCACACAAGGTGTTCCTCTGGTATTCGGGAATTGCATAATCTCATAGTGAGAGGAATATGTATGAGTCATGAAGAAAGCAATAACAATAAAACTTAACGATCATTATGCTAAGCTAACGGATGGGTCTTGTCCATCACATCATTCTCCTAATGATGTGATCCCGTTCATCAAATGACAACACATGTCTATGGTTAGGAAACTTAACCATCTTTGATTAACGAGCTAGTCAAGTAGAGGCATACTAGGGACACTTTGTTTTGTCTATGTATTCACACATGTATCAAGTTTTCAGTTAATACAATTCTAGCATGAATAATAAACATTTATCATGATATAAGGAAATATAAATAACAACTTTATTATTCCCTCTAGGGCATATTTCCTTCCGTCTCCCACTTGCACTAGAGTAAATAATATAGATTACATAGTAATGATTCTAACACCCATGGAGTCTTGGTGTTGATCATGTTTTGCTCGTGGAAGAGCCTTATTCAACGGGTCTGCAACATTCAGATCCGTATGTATTTTGCAAATTGCTATGTCTCCCTCCTTGACTTGATGGCGGATGGAATTGAAGTTTCTCTTGATGTGTTTTGTTCTCTTGTGAAATCTGGATTCCTTCGCTAAGGCAATTGCTCCAGTATTGTCACAAAAGATTTTCATTGGACCCGATGCACTAGGTATTACACCTAGATCGGATATGAACTTCATCCAGACTCATTCATTTGCTGCTTCTGAAGCAACTATGTACTCCACTTCACACGTAGATCCCGCCACGATGCTCTGCTTGGAACTGCACCAACTTACAGCTCCACCATTCAATATAAATATGTATCTGGTTTGCGACTTTGAGTCATCCGGATCAGTGTCAAAGCTTGCATCGACGTAACCATTTATGACAAGCTCTTTGTCACCTCCATAAACGAGAAACATATCCTTATTCATTTTCAAGTATTTCAGGATGTTCTTGACCGCTGTCCAGTGATCCACTCCTGGATTACTTTGGTACCTCCCTGCTAAACTTATAGCAAGGCACACATCAGGTCTGGTACACAACATTGCATACATGATAGAACCTATATATGGTTGAAGCATAGGGAATGCCTTTTATTTTCTCTCTATCTTCTGCAATGGTTGGGCATTGAGTCTGACTCAACTTCACACCTTGTAACACATGCAATAACCCTTTCTTTGACTGATCCATTTTGAACTTCTTCAAAACTTTATCAAGGTATGTGCTTTGTGAAAGTCCAATTAAGCGTCTTGATCTATCTCTATAGATCTTGATGCCCAATATATAAGCAGCTTCATCGAGGTCTTCCATTGAAAAATTCTTATCCAAGTATCCTTTTATGCTATTCAGAAATTCAGTATCATTTCCGATTAGCAATATGTCATCCACATATAATATCAGAAATGCTACAGAGCTCCCACTCACTTTCTTGTAAATACAGGCTTCTCCAAAAGTCCGTATAAAACCATATGCTTTGATCACACTATCAAAGCGTATATTCCAACTCCGAGATGCTTGCACCACTCCATAAATGGATCGCTGGAGCTTGCACACTTTGTTAGCACCTTTAGGATCGAAAAAACCTTCTGGTTGCATCGTATACAACTCTTCTTTAAGAAATCCATTAAGGAATGCAGTTTTGTCATCCATTTGCCAAATTTCATAATCATAAAATGCGGCAATTGCTAACATGATTCTGACAGACTTAAGCATCGCTACGGGTGAGAAGGTAGCATCATAGTCAACTCCTTGAACTTGTCGAAAACCTTTCGCAACAAGTCGAGCTTTGTAGACAGTAATATCACCGTCAATGTCAGTCTTCTTGTTGAAGATCCATTTATTCTCTATGGCTTGCTGATCATCGGGCAAGTCAACCAAAGTCCACACTTTGTTCTCATACGTGGATCCCATCTCAGATTTCATGGCCTCAAGCCATTTCACAGAATCTGGGCTCATCATCGCTTCCTCATAGTTCGTAGGTTCGTCATGGTCTAGCAACATGACTTCCAGAACAGGATTACCGTACCACTCTGGTGCGGACCTTACTCTGGTTGACCTACGAGGTTCGGTAGTAACTTGATCCAAAGTTTCATGATCATCATCATTAACTTCCTCACTGATTATTGTAGGCATCACTGGAACTGATTTCTGTGATGAACTACTTTCCAATTCGGGAGAAGGTACAATTACCTCATAAAGCTCTACTTTCCTCCCACTCACTTCTTTCAAGAGAAACTCCTTCTCTAGAAAGGATCCATTCTTAGCAACGAATATCTTGCCTTCAGATCTATGGTAGAAGGTGTACCCAACAGTTTCTTTTGGGTATCCTATGAAGGCACATTTCTCCGATTTCGGTTCAAGCTTATCAGGTTGAAGATTTTTCACATGAGCATCGCAACCCCAAACTTTAAGAAACGATAGCTTAGGTTTCTTGCCAAACCACAGTTCATACGGTGTCATCTCAACAGATTTATATGGTGCCCTATTTAACGTGAATGCAGCCGTCTCTAAAGCATAACCCAAAAACGATAGCGGTAAATCGGTAAGAGACATCATAGATTGCACCATATCTAATAAAGTACGGTTACAACGTTCGAACACACCATTACGCTGTGGTGTTCCAGGTGGTGTGACTTGCAAA